GGAAAAGGGGAGAAAAAAAAGAGGAAGAAGTGTCTTTGGGGGGGGGGGGGGCTGAAACCGTTCTGTGTGACACTATAACAGTGATTTCATGGCATTACACATTCGTCAATGCCCATAGAATAAACAACACGAAGAGTAAACCCTTGTGCCAATTATGGACTTTGATTAATAATAATGTACCAGTTTTGGTTCATCACTTGTAGCAAATGAGCCACACTAATGCCAGATAAAAGGCCCAATAACCATGAGTGAGGCTGTGTGGGTAGAATGAGGGAACTTCGTCTAATCTGCTCAATTTTCCACAAACCTAAAACTCCTCTAAAAATTATAGTCTATTACTTTTTAAAGTGTCTTGCAATGCCTTTTCAGGTTCTTATCCCTCAAGAGGGTTTGAAGTCCCTACCAGGTGACCAGTACCGCATAACAGGCAACTTGGAATGGTTTCCCAGAAGCTGTTACAACCTAATCTGTTTTTTTCCTCCTAAGAAGCAATATTTATTTTGTTTAAGGCATGAGCTGTCTTTAGTTCTCTGTATTGAATTTCCCCTAAATTGATTTTTATTTAATAGTTTCCAATCCAAATTAGAATTTTCTTCCTCCCTATTAGTTTCCATTATAGAAATAATTTCCTCAGAAGATAAAGATACTAAATATAATACAAATGACCATCCCTAGATGCCAAACATAGCATACTTTAATCAATTCTGAAAGAGTAATGAAAGGAACTGATGAGAGGAGGTGTTGCAGGAATACTTCAGTTTCAACGGCAAAGGACTAGGCACGGGTGATGATTTTCGTGTTCGTGGATTCTGGCCTGGTTTCGTGGTTAAGGGTTGTACTCCTAAGGTCCCCACCAGAAAACACAGCATTATCAAAGGGATTCTATGTAACTAGTAGTCTCCTGGGCACTGTGTGGCAGAGAACATTGAGCTCAAGAACGAACCAGAAAAAGGCAGTTCAGAATGTACACCTGGCCCAGGTCCCTGAACCTCTGTCTCTGGGCATGGGTTCCTGACAGTGAGACCTGTAGAGAGAGACTTCTTCACACTTATCAGAGAGGGGTTTATATATTACTGATTGTCTTGTTTGGTTTGTTTGTTTGTTTAGGTTTTGTCATAGGGCATGTGAGCTTACCATAGAGAAGTGAGAAATCATCCCCCCACGGAGTGGTGGTGATGGTACTGGTGGTGGTGATGCCTTAATCCCTTCTCTGTTCTCCTCCTGGGATTTTGGGCATGCACACCCACACTTGAACTGTGTTCTGGGAGTCCAGTGCCTTAACCAGCACATTCTCTGCTGGCCCTACATAGTCTTACTTTAATGTGTTACAGCTCATGCCTATCTCTTCACTGACAATTCTCCTGTCTGTTGTTTGCAGCCAGTTGAATACATTAGTACGTTTGGTGCTACCAGGTAACTTCAGTTAAAGAATGATGAGGGAAAGAAGGATTCATTTCCAAATTATGCATATTAGCTCAATAAGATACTTCAACTTGTACTATA